CATCACCCTTGGGGTAGTTAAACCTGGGGTCCCCTCGACCATGGGGTGGTAAACCCCAGCATCCAGTCTCCACCATTGGGGTGTTTAACGATGCAGGGCCGTCATGCTTTTGGCCCATCACCCACAGGGTGGTTAACCCTGGGAACCATAACCCTCTTGGGCCCATCAGCTTTGAGGTGTTTAACCACAGAGGTCCATCACCCCTTGGGCCCTGTCACCCTTTGGGGCCCATAGGCTTTGGAGACCCTCAGCTTTGGGTTGTTTAAACCCCGGTGCCATCACTGCTTAGACCAATCAGCCTCAGCATACCTAACCCTGGGAGCCCATCACCCAGGGGTCCCATCACGCTTGGGGGTTGTTAAAGCCCATCAACCATTAGGCCCAACACCATTGCAGTGGTTAATGATGGGGGGCCATCAACCGTTGGGCCCACCGCCCTTGGGGTTCAGCACTTTTGGGGCCCATCACCTCTCGGGCCCAACACTTTTGGGGTGGTTAACACTGGAGGCCCATCAGCCTGGGGGCTCATTGCATGTGGGGTGGTGAAACCTGGTTTCCCATCACCTCTTGGGCCCATTACCCTTAAGGCTGTTAACCCTGGGGTCCATCACCTTTGGTGTGGTTCACCTCAGGGGATATCACCCTTGGGGTTGTTAACCCTGGGGACCCAAGACCATTTTGCCTTATCACTTTTGGGGTGATTAACCTTGTGAGCCCGTCACCTCAGTGTCCCATCACCTACGGGCTGATTAACACTGAGGACCCATTATCCTCTGGGTGGTTAACCCTTGTCACATCACCCTTGGGGTGGTTAACCCTGGAAGTCTGTCATCCTTGTTGTCGTTAACCTTTGGGGCCCATCAATGCATTGACCCATCACCATTGGGCTAGGTAACCCTGGGGTTCCCATCACCTCTTTGGCCCCATCATCCTTAAGGTGGTAAACCCCAGGTGGCCATCACCCCAAGGGCCTGTACCCCTTGGAGTGGTTAACCCTGGGGACCCATCATCCCTTGGGCCCATCACCCTTGGGGTGGTTAACCCTGGGGACCCATCACCCTTGGGGTGGTTAACTCTTGGGGCCCATCAGCCAGGGCACTCCTCACCCTTGGGGTGGTTTACTGTGGGGCACAGCACACACAGGGTTTTTAACCCTAGAGGCTCATCACTGTGGGGGCCTATCGCCCAAGGGGTGGTGAAACTTGCTTTCCACCCTTTGGGCTGTCAACCCCCACCAACCCCAGGGGCCCATCACCCTTGGAGTTGTTAACCCTGGGGGCCCATCACATTTTTGGCCCATCAGCCTTGTGGGGGTTAACCTTGGGGACCCTTGGGCCCATCACCCTCAGGGTGGTTAACCTCCAGGGGACAACCACCCTTTGAAGGGGTCAACACTGGGGCACATCACCCTTAGGGTGTGTAACTCTGGGTTAGCATCACTCCTTGGGCCCATCACCCTTGGCATGGTTGACCTTGGGACCCATCACCCTTATGGTGGTTAACTCTGAGAGCCCATCACCTTTTGGGCGGTAAAAGCCAAGGCCCAGAACCCTTTGGGCTCAACACTTTTGGGGTGGTTAACCCTGGGGCTCATCACTCTTGGTGTTTTTAACTCTTTGGGCCCATTAGGACTCGGTCCCATCACCCTTGGGGTGATTAATTCTGGGCCCATCAGACCTCTGGTGGTTTACCCTTTGTGCCCATCACATATGGGGCCCATCACCCTTGGGGCTGTTAACCGTGAGGGCCCATCACCCTGGGTGTCCATCACTAGTTGCATCAAAAGACCTTGGGGCTGTGGTGTCCACTAAGGTGACTGTGGTGCGAAGAAGGCTGTCACCATCCTGGGTGGCACTCGGAGGGGTGGAACAGCAGGGTCAGGTGCTCCTTCCTCTCCACTTGGCACTGATGAGCCCACCCTTTGAACACTGGGTCCAAGTCCCGTGGCCAGGAGCCTCTTGCAGGGGTTGTGTGAGCCAGAACTGGAGAAGATTTGGCTGTAGAGGGTCCTGCCCAGGTGGGATCTCAGCAGTGGCAGTGACAGGACAAGAGGCGCAGGGCACAAACCTAGACACAGAGTGACTTGGGAGGACACTTTTTTACTGTGGGGGTGACTGAGGCTCCTTGGGGAGGTTCTGAAGTCTCTGACAGTGGAGGGGTAAAAGGACACCTGGATGTGGCTACGGTGGTCTCCCTGGTGCTTACGTGAGCCCCCCAGGACCCCTTGAAGGGCCCTGGAGCACTCCCAGGGGCCCTCCTGAGCTGCCCAAGACCCATGAAGGTCCCAGCTGAACCCCAGGGACCCTCCTGAGCCCCCCCAGCACCCCATGAAGGATCCTGCTGACCCCCAGGGACTGTCCCAACACCCCATGAAGGTCCCTGCTGGCACCCAGAGACCCTCCCAAACGCCTCCAGGACCCCTTGTAGGTCTCTGCTGCACTCTGGGGACCCACAGGGGCTTTCCTGGGAGGGGTACAGTGGGTGACACGGGGGACATAGGGACAGCTCAGCGTCTCCCCCAGGCCAGCGCGTGGAGCTGGTGGGCAGCATCGCGCAGCCGCCCACGGTACTCAAGGCAGCAGTGCAGCCCAGGGGGGATGGCCTCCAAGCCCCCTCGCAGCCCCCAGCACCCAGCAGCGATGGTCCCCGTCGAATTGTCCCCGCCATGCAGCACCCCTCTGGCACAGAGGTCCTCCCAGCATCCGCCAGCTGCCAGCAGGGCCTCCAGGGCCACCATGGGAGCGTCATGGCCACTGCGCCCTGCCCACCCGTCCAGTGCCCATCCCAGGTACGCTGCATCCCGCTCAGCCGGTGATGGAAGGGACGGCACCTGGGGTGAGCCATGACCCTCCAGAAGGCCCCGGGATTCCAGGTACCTGCAGAGACACGGGGACATGGGGACACTGGGGTCACTGGGGATATTGGGGTCACCAGGGACATGGGCATAGTGAGGTCAGCAGGGGCACTGGAGACACGAGGACACTCGAGTCACTAGGTACACTGGTGTCACTGGGGACGTTGGGGTCACTGGTGTCACAAGTGACAATGGGGTAACCAGTGACACTAGGGGTCACTGATCTGTGGCTCTTCAGCAGCTCCTGTGACACCAGTCACCTGTGGGGACAATTGGGACACGTGGGGGCACCAGAGCAGCGGATGCACTGGGGACACCAGTAATACCACGGAAACCAAGAGCACCAGGGCCACCAGAGACACTGAGGTCAGTGGGGCTGCGGGGTGGCCCTGGGCCACATTCCCACAGCTGAGGATGGCAGCACTGGCAGGGACACTGAGGACAGGGGGACACTGGGGCCAGCAGGGACAGGATGGGCACTGGTGACCCTGTGGACAGACTGGGCACTAGGGTCAGCAGCAACACCAGTGACAGTGGGGCAGGGGACACTGGGGACATCCAAGGACTTGGGTAGAGCAGTGACACCAGTCACACCAGTGACACCAGTGTCGTGCGCTGTCAGGACTGGGAGAGAGCCTTATGGGCAGCAGTGACACCAGTGACCCCCTGAGCCCCTCCCAGTGGCCCCACAGAACCCTCCCAGTACCCCCTCACCGGTGCCAGGCATCCCCGAAGAAGGGCCAGGCGGCGGCATTGTCCTCCACGGCCACCCCAGCACCCTCCACGTAGTCCCATGCGAGGGGCAGGACCTGCAGCAGCTCAGCCCCCAGCGCTCTGGGGGCTCCCCCCGAGCCCCCAGAGCCCCAAAGAGGGCCACTGCCAGCGCCCCGAGATACCCTGCAGGGACAGGCATTTGAGGAAGGCTCCAGTGTCCCCTCCTCCCCTGTTCCCCCTGCCTGGCACCCACCGGTGGGGTGGTGGTGGGTCATGCGCCCACTCTCGATGCTCACACGGATCAGTGTCGGCAGCTCCCAGGCGTGCGGGTACCTGCGTTGGCATCAGCACTGTCCCTGTCCTCCCCTGTCCTCCCCTGTCCCTGTATCCCCAGCCTTGTCCCTATCCCTGTCCTGCCACCCTTGTCCCCACTGTCCTCATCCCTGCTGTCCCCATCCCCCTGGCCATGCCACTTTCCTGTCTCCCTCTCATCTGCTCTGTGACCCCTGTGTCCCTTCCTCCCTATTGCTGTCCTCATGTTCTCCGTAC